AAAGCAATTGCTTCACCCTATTAGAATCCATTTTAAAACTCTCGTTATATGTATAGCATGTTAGCAATATCTTTAATCGGATTTCAATTAATTTAAAATTGTACAATCTTTACAACATTAAAGATTAAGTGGACACCCTGTATAAGCTAGCTAAAGTCACTATGTGCTGTTATCACAGAAAATAGAGTAACAGTAAGCAGTTAAGGCTCTATCGGTGGTCCTTCACGAACTCCCTGAAACAAACAAGTAAAAATTAATATACAGGGTGACGTTTAAAGGTCGTTTGTGGGCAATGATTTTACAATCATACAGCAATTTGACGCTATTCAACTATTACAGCGTATTAATTTCTTTCGGTCTCTATTATTGGCGTACCACTGCTGGGCACGAGTCTCCTCTATAGGGAGTTTATAACGAACAACACATGATGTTTTTTTACTATCATGACATTCGTAGTTCACTTTAGTAGCAGTAGAGCTCTGGACCTAACATCTATATGATAGGGAGTGTGCCGTACGTGTACCCGGGGGCACTACCCTTTTGAGAAACGTATGAAGTCTGTGCCAACGGGTTCATCTGGAGTCAGGACCTGACTGAGTCCCAGTGCCCTTCCCGTATAACCAACAGGTAGATAGGTAGGTCTAGCAGCAGTAGAGCTCCTTGTGAAAGAGTTCGTCCAGGGAAGTACTGCCATCTTACCTATTTCTGCCTTCAAGCAGTAATGTGAGCATAACTGCTTTCCAGTTTTAAAGGGCAACAGTGCTGGTGAAATTATAGGCACATGGGACTTGTGAATGAAGTCTTAAGGTGACGGGTGTGATGGCAGTGCACGTCAGATCTTTGCGATTTGTGCTATGAGCAGGCGTGTCGATAACATTAGGCGCACGACTGTTCATACCGTCACTCGGTATAATAATCTTTACGACTAGTATGAAAAAAGATGGCATCCTGTCTGAGCGGTGTGCGAGAGGACTCAAGCACAGTTCTTAAAATGATAGGGGATAGATGGGACTCTGGAATGCTTGTTAGGTTCACTGAAGTTCACGTCCTGGGAGATCGGTGAACTTAGCAGGTAGCATGTAATCATTTCATGCATTTTACTTTTATTCTTGTGTACTATACTCCGTCCATTTATTTAACTTTTGACAGCTCGAATTATAATCAATTAGATTCGCTTTTTTTATAACAATCGATTTTATTTATCAAAATGTTATAATCGTGAATGTGAGCGGGTTCCAAAAAGATATTGTCTGATTGGGATCGTGATGATGCGTTTGACAATTTGTGTACTCAAGAATTAATCATTAATGTTAATGAGGATCCAAGTGATGATTCCCGTTCATATGGAGAAGAATCCGACGATTCATTTTAACAAACAATAAGAATTTATTTTAACAATTTATAACTTATTTCATTATTTACTAGACAGGTACCAAAATTGATCAACTTGAATAATCTTCGTTACATAATCTGTTGGCTCGATAAATATCGGAGCTAAAGAGCACGTCGCTTCACTAAAGTTAAAAAATGTAAGAGTCAATGAAATATAGCAGTGTCTATGGTTGTATGTCAATAATTACGAACTTCGCATGCCGCACATGACAAAAGTTAAAAGAAAAAAATAAATTAAGGAAATGGTTGGACGGAGTATAACAGTAGAATAGATAGCTTGTAAGTGTACTAACAATATAACAACAAATTTTTTATATTTATTTAAATCAGTACATCGACTGACTAAAGCACATATAGGAAATGAAACTATTTTGCCCTTTACAGGTCACGGTTGTCAACCACGACCATGTACCTGACTGACCATGTACATGACCATGGACCTGTAAGGAGCCCCAAACGTCGGTTTCTTTGAAAAAAAAAACGAATATACGCGATTTAAATCCGGAAAAATAGTTTCATTTCCTATGTGTAACAATCGAAATGTAAAAACCTACGAACTCGATAGAAAGCACATATGTCAAATTAATTTAGAATATTTTATACAGAATGTAACCATAACTCATTTAGGGTAATTAGGAACGTTACGGTGTGGAACGTAGTAATACTCACATTACTGCTTGGCGATAGAAATGGGTAAGGTGGCAATACTTCCCTGGACGGTGCCGACTTTGGTATTATAGATAAGGGTAAAAACTCACCCGACAACTTGAGGCAAATCTTTTGCATTGCAAATCCATTTGTGTCCTAAGCCGAGACTTTTGTCGTACGCATGCAGTTTCACTGGCGCACCGCCATCGATGCGTGACGCCACTATGGACCGGTATAGCTGCAATATAATTATTTATTTTGAGATGCACACGAAAAAATAAAAATAAGTTTATAATTCGTTTATTGAATGTCAGAATGTGTCACCAACATGATATTCAATCATTTTTTTGTGAAATTACTCGAGTGTTCGATCTTTGTATTAATAATTATAACAAACTATTGGAGTAATTTCACAAAAAATAATTGAATATCAATTCAATAAAAATTTAATTAATACAGTGAATAGCTACATCTCTCGCCAGGACCGGTAGCTGTAAAGGTACTAACTGGGTGATAAATCTGTCAAAGATTTCTCATAGATGGCGCTACGACTAAAAAGTCGTTGAAAGACCAAGTACAAAGACACGACGCAAGCACATAGAAAAATTCGTGAGGTCCGTTGGTTCGTTCCGTTGCTTAGTTGGTATAGCGTCTGGCACGGTATGCAAGAAGACGTCGGTTCGAATCCGACCGGATCGAAGGAATTTTTTCTGAGTGCTTTTTCTGAGTGTTCGATCTTTGTATTAATAATTATAACAAACTAGTGGAGTAATTTCACAAAAAATAATTGAATATCAATTCAATAAAAATTTAATTAATACAGTGAATAGCGACATCTCTCGCCAGGACTGGTAGCTGTAAAGATACTAACTGGGTGATAAATCTGTCATAGATTTCTCATAGATGGCGCTACGACTAAAAAGTCGTTGAAAGACCAAGTGCAAAGACACGATGCAAGCACATAGAAAAATTTGTGAGGTCCGTTGGTTCGTTCCGTGGCTTAGTTGGTATAGCGTCTGGCACGGTATGCAAGAAGACGTCGGTTCGAATCCGACCGGATCGAAGGAATTTTTTCTGAGTGTTCGATCTTTGTATTAATAATTATTACTCAAGTGTTCGATCTATGTATTGATAATTATAAAGTTTATATTTTAGAACATACACCACATCCACCTGCCAAGTAATAAAATCACAACATAACTGCCTTTGTGGCTAAACGGTTACCATGTTAGTTGGCACAGCGTCTGGCATGGTTTGCTAGGAGACGTCGGTTCGAATCCGGCCGGATCGAAAGATTTTTTCTAAATGTTCGATCTCTGTACCAATAATTAAAACAAACTAGTAGAGTAGTTTCACAAAAAATAATTGAATATCAAATCAATAAAAAATGTAATTACAATTTTGAAGATTTCAACTTGATATCTCATCAGTTTTACCAGCAATATTCATTAGAATAACATATTAATAATTCTTATTTGAATAATGTTAGATCAAAAGTGAGGTTAAATATAAATTGTATATAGACCCAGTTATTAAAATTAAATTAAAAAATTAAATAGGACTTTATTCATCAAACAAATCCACACATATTACATAGAACATCACACGATATTAAGTACTAACAAATTATGAGCTATGAGTGACGAAAAGGACGAAGTCTCAACATAGTGCTGTTTTTCAGTCTCCGCGTGTGTTCTCTGTCATTCTATTTCAACTGATTCAATTAAAGAAATGGATTCATTCAATTAATTAATCGATTTGTAGTTGGCCGTACAGTTGGCCATGACTAAACTGTCTATAATAATAATAATAATAACGCACACACTCAACATGGCCTCGCACTAGGGAAACCCTGTGTCGCGGGAGCCATGGACACACACATAGACAACCACACATTACACCCAAACTCACGAGAGAAATAAATGTAGGCCATACAAATATTTCTCCCGGCCCGGGAATTGAACCTGGGACCTCTGTGTGGCAGTCCGGCATGGTAACCGTTCAACCACGGAGGCAGTGCCTGTGGTCGGGTCAATGACCTGTTTGTTTACTTTTCTGGTACAATGGATTGATACAGACTATGAATAAAATATGTTTTTATACACGATTAAGGGTCGTATTCCAGAACTTTACTCAATGCTGAAGTCAGGATCTGAGTATGATTCAAAGCACTAGAAATCATACTCAAGTCCTTGCCATTAGGGTCGTATTTCCAGTGCTTGAAATCATACTCAAGTCTGCTCAAATCCTGACTTGAGCATTGAGTACAGTTCTGGAATATTAAAATCAAATGTGTGAAAATTACTAAACCATCTTACCCTTAAACCGACTAGGAAAGGCACAATGACGTCATCTTTCGCGTGCAATATAAGCACAGGCAAAGTACGTGCACGATTAAGATGCACTTCGGAGCAGAACTTGTGTTCCGGCGCCGATCGAAATGGTGCCACAAACGTTGACTCGTAATACGGCAACCAGGTTACCAACTGGAACATAAAGTTTATATATAATTCATAAGAAAGAGTTCTTACGTGTTTTTTTCATGGTACTAAGTGACCGAACGAACAAGTCATGCGTCTGGTGGTAAACTAGACGCCTGTCCATACCAGTTGCAGTGTCACGCAGAGCGTTTAAAAATCTGGAAAAAGGGCTTTGCAACTTTGCAAGATTTAAAGCTCTGAATGGCACTGCAACTGTTATGGACAGACGTGTAGCTTACTATCAAAGAAAGAAAATACATTTATTTGTTTACCACAACGACACCACAAAAGACAAAAAAAAAAGAAACGAAACAAAAACACAAACAAACACATAATAAAAATGTATATACAAAAAAATTGATAAAATTAAAACAAAACTATTCACACAAATAATAAAAAGAACATTAAATATTGAGATACTTTGTGTGGTGCTAACGTAATGCGTTCCCAGCACTGATTTTCAGTTAGGACACAAGTGAGGTCACGGAACAACATACGCATGCATACTTAGGTACTTGAATATAACAATAAAGTAATTGTATATATGTACATATTCAACTGTAACAGATATGTATGTGTGGGTGTCACGCGCAGGCGCACGACTTGTTCATGCTCGATATTATTATAATTATTATTATATTATTATTCATGTAAAATTCGCTTTAAAGTTTCGAGATGAGTCCGTTTTGCCATCTCATTTACTAACTTTAATTTCACAGTAACAATTTGGGGTGCGGTTCGCAATATATAACAACAAATGACATATTTTTAGTCAATATAACACTCAACAGATATAATTAATTTATGGTATACCATCGAGTGTATAGCCAGAAATAGAGACGAAATGCCATTTAATTTGATTGAAAACTATTCTGCCAAATGACAACTGGTGACAACTGCGCTCTGATAGGCCAGGCCGAATTCGAAATATACTTTAGAGATGGGCAAGCAAATATTATATTATCGAAATCGAAAGTATATATCGACGCCTTACGTTCTCAAAACACTTATCTTATAAAGAGTGATTATTCAGATGGCAAGAATTTCTATTCATTTTAAATTTCTTATCAAGGGTGTTAATTTGGATGCATTACTTTAAGAATAGGTAAAAGCCAGTGTGTGAATGTGAAGGAAATTTGATGTGAAATTAAGATAAGTGTTTGAGAAAGTAACGCGACGGCATGACGGCAATATGGCATTATAAATAACCATTACCTGTTTTTTACCGGTTTCGAATTGTGTATAGTATTGTTAGAATCCACAGTCATTCCGAGTGAGCAAGTACTGAATGTGTTTCTTACATATTTGTACACTTTTGTCGAATAAGAATTCAACATAAGAACGAAACTCCTCAATTCTGGCGAATATCCATTTTTCCTTATGACCCGGATCGTTAGGAAATCTTCAAAAACAATACAAAAACACTAAGTATCGGTACCCGCGTATTTTAAACAAAACAACTGACAGTACACAGCACTAACTGCTCATGGGTCTCCCCAAAATCCATAAACAGTCTGGACTCCTCGGGAACTTGGCACAATCACCACACTTGCAACAATTGATCAATCGTTAATTGCTGTTTCGCAATCGACAATTAATTAATTGTCAATCTTTAATTGCCAGAACAATTAAATTTTGCCCAACACTGGTAGTTGGCATGTCTACATTTCAGTGCAAACGAGAGTTGATGTTTATAAGAGCTGTATCGCTAATATGTTACCAGGAATATAGGGCCCTTATTTCGTCTCTATTTCTGGTTATATACTCGATGTTCTTGCATGATATAATAACAACTAGACACCAGCCCGTTACACCAAGTACCAAGTACCAACAACTTTCAATCTAATATACCAATGGCATAATGTTCATTTTATATAAACACTTCAGATATGACATTCACTTAGTATAATGTATTATAAATATAATTCCATCGGTGTTTAGGTGCAATGGATAGATGTGAATGAATAGAACCGAATTTGTTTGCATTTGCTAGTTGCTTGGTTAGTATAATTATGACATAGCTGCCAGAACCGACTTTCTTTGCATTTGCTGGTTGGTTCGACCCCGTCTTGTGGGTTTAGCTTAGCTTAGTTTATGCAGTTAAATATTCTGCTTAAAGTTTTAATAAATATATTTTATTGCACACAAAGCAGTCAAATATATTTTTATCAAAAGTATTATTTTTGCGATTGTGCATTTAATTAAATAAAAAAATCTTCTTCTCAACATAATATAGGTTTCAACTATTCGTAAAACGACCTAATCATTATATCCAATGTTTGTTATACCGAAGGTTTATTATACACATTGAAATTATGCCTTTTGTTGTTATACCTTTTATTGATTATATACAGTGAGTGATTAAATCCTTAGAAATTATATCAAATGTTGTTATACAAAGTGAAAATAGATTATTTGTTGTTATATCTTCCATTACACACCCAACAATTTGTTTTGCATTTTTTCTTGTATTGTCAATTTTAACATTAAGTAAATGCAAGTTCAAAAACTTTGGCAACAATCGTCGATCACACGGTGGGTAAAAATTATTGAAAAAAGTTACATACCTTAGACAACGGATGCTGTGCAACTTCATCAGCGAGGTTGTTGAAAGGTGCCTCGAGAATTAGTCCGCAGGGCGGCGGCAGGGGCGATTCGCGGGACAGCAAACGGGTTGACAGCTCGGGTAAATTGCCCAAAAGGTGGGACGATATACCTGTCCCTATTAACAAAAAAGGCTAAGATTTGCAAATCTTACGACTATAATCTTTCAGTGCACGACATCAAGTTCTTTTTCTCATTTTACTTTTTATTGTTATTTATTATCTTGTTGTTATATGTCACATATTTGATACTACGATTTTGTGCTTTACGTAATTGGAATAATGTCGATTTTAATATTCGACATCGACAGGCAGTTAATATCAATCAATTTAAATAGAACTGTTTCGGTATGATTATTTTGGTTTGTGATGATGACGAGTAATAATCTAATAGATCATCTAACCAATATCTAGGATTTTATAATACTCTATGAGTCGTATTCTAGAACTCTACTCAATGCTCAAGTCAGGATTGAACTGGAAACACAAGCACTGGAAATACGACCATAATGACAGGGACTTTAGTATGATTTCGAGTGCTTTAAACCATACTCAAATCCTGACTTGAGCATTGAGTAGAGTTCTAGAATACGATACTTAGTCAGTAACGAGCTTTGCTGAATAAAACCGAGAAATGCTAAAGTCACGTATTACGCTCATTTCAGTGAATTCTAAACTTTAAAACGCTGTAAACTTAAACTTGGCAATTTCGACATACGATTCTTTGCGTAGGGGTCGATATGTCTGTGGAGAAACATTTGTATGGCCTACATTTATTTGTCTCATTGAGTTTGGGTGTAATTTGTGGTTGTTTATGTGTGTCCATGGCACCCGCGACACAGGGTTTCCCTAGGGCTATGTTGAGTGTGTGCTTTATTATTATTAATAGGCAAACTCACCCAAAGAATGTCCCCAAACAAACAACGGCGGCCGCTTCCCTTCTTTAGCGACAGTATTGCACAACCATTCATAGACGACAAGCGAGTCCTCCACCACGCCGTCTTCCGTAGGATTCAGGTTAGTCGAATCACCGTAGCCTGAAATTGACAAGTTTACAGTGACACCTCATAACACGTATAAATCCTTTTTTTTTTATAATATTAAGTGACGGGACGACCAAGTCATGCGCCTGTCCATAACAGTTGCAGTGCCACTCAGAGCTTTAAGTCGCAAAGATCTTAGGGGCACTGCCACTGCGCCCGTCACCCTGAGACATAAGTTGACATGTCCCACATGCCTGTAATTTTTTAATCCTGGACACATCTTTAGGAGAAGATATAACATCATACATCTACATTGACTGGTTAGTATAATACACTATGGTTACAGGTCAACGAAAGATTCATGATAAACGAAGCATTCGCTTATCATGCAATTTTGATGAAATTGCTATTGACACTTAAGATTTAAATTCAACTCTATACCGCTGACGTTACAATCGGTCCAAAATATCAAGTATTCAGCTGGATGTTCTCTTTACTGTACATTAGCTTATTGTACGAGTATACCTTATTTTGGTAGGAATAGAGCTCTTTGTGAAAGAGTTCGTCCAAGGAAGTACTGCTACCTTACCTATTTCTGCCGCCAAGCAGTAATCTGAGCATTACCGTGTTCCGGTTTTGAAGGGTAAGGGTGCTGGTGAAATTACAGGCACACGGGACTTATCAACTTATGTCTCAGGGTGTCGGGCGCAGTTATAATGTCCTTCAGATCTTTGCGGTTTAAAGCTCTGAGTGGCACTGCAATTGTTATGGACAGGCGTGAGCTTACCATCAGGCGCTTGTTCGTCCCGTCACATGTTGTGATAAAAGAAAAATAAATAAAATTATAAGCAAATTGATGAAGTTGGTATAGAGATGGATGGGAGTTAGGAGAAGGACTTAGGCTACTTTTTGTCGCAAAAATAAATCTCAAAGTGTCTCTTAAGATCTGAAATCGATACCTCCAATAAACACTACTTCAACTTAAGTACAGTAAAAAAAAAAAAACAGTAAATTAATAATAATTGTCTTAACTTTCATACTCTCATCATGGCATGTTCACCTGTAATTGGTTAAGCATTTTAACTGTAACACCCTATCGAATGTGTGTAAAACATTGTTGTAACCGAATGTATTAAGCGTTGGTGAATTTAAATAAATAAATAAATAAATAAAAAAATAAATAAACTTTATTGTTTTGTCGTTTTCTGTTATTTATGTAAACAGCCATACTTATTTACTAATATTATGCTCCCCGAATTTTGTGAAAAAAATAGAGAAACTAAAAACAAATCGAAAACAGAACACATAAATTAAATCAGCGCAATGTTAATTGGAGGTATCGAAATCGGGGATAAAAGTTTGTATCATCATCATCATGCACGACCCGACTTCACCTACTGCTATTGGCCTCTCTTAGTTTGCGCCATTCACCACGATCCTGTGCTAGTCTCGCCAGTGGCGAGAAGTGAAAATTTTATTTTATTTTGTTATCTTAGGGAAGCTTACAGCTACTTGTTAACTGACTTCAAAAAAAGAAGGAGGTTCTGAATTCGACTGTATGTTTTTTTTTGTATGTATGTTACGCGATAACTCTGGTATTTGTGAACCGATTTTCATGAATATTTTTTTGTTGGAAAGGTGGTACTATATTGGTGGGATCCATAGTGGTCCCATTTCATTTTGAAAAAAATCATCCACCTCTAAGGGTGGCTGTTCACGCATGAAAATTAATTTTTATTAATAACGCCTAAATTTTATTATAAGGAGCTATTATTTTAATGGTTGATTTTGCTATTCTCTAATTCAAGGCGTTTTTCTGTCTCAATATACTTTGAGTAGTTAGAACCGATTTTTATTATCTCCTGTGTCAAGTTCCGTCTAGTGGCGAACTAGGGGATGAATCCGGGTTTGCGCACTTTCCGGTAACTGATTTAAAAAAAAAGTTGGCAAATAAATGTAATACCACGTACTTTTGAGGTCGGTTTTTTTAGTAGTCTGTACTGAAATTATGAAAAGAGAATTTTATGCTCTTTCTTTTTCTATTTAAAACGGATATTAGACCATTTGTCACTTAGCCGAGTTTTATTTAGGGGCTGGCAGAGTAACGAGGCGTGAAATTGTCGTTAGTAAACAAAAAAAAAACAAAAAGCCCCTACCGTGGCGACTTGACACTTCACTTGTTAGCACACAAGATTACTTAGTACACTTCATTGCCAATAAATACCGCGTCTCCCATTTAAAAATTCAAAATTAATCTTTTAGGCCTTGGGAGACGCGAGAGTCTAATATAGACATAATAATAATAATAATAATATCAGTAGGCGAAGGCGAAGTACTTATTCTACGCAGACCAAGTCGCGAGCACCAGCTAGTGTATAATATAAAAAAAATTACCTCTGTAATCATACGCAATTGTATGAAAGTCCATCTGTTGGAAAAATTTGTACAGTTGTATCCGATGAGTGGCCGCACGGGAATTGGAGTTACCTGAAATAATAATTTGTTTATTTACATTGACTTACAATTATATGGACGTTGGGTCCGCGCTAATAAGTGTCCGAACTTATAGGGCGTTAAAATCGTATACAGAGCGTCATTCACGCTTTAGTCTTCGTTTGTTCGACTGACAGCGAAGCAAGCAAAATTAGACAGTACTGCGATGACATTACAATTAAAATTCAACGTTTTAGCTTTTTCATATTCCTTTACATGTCACTACGTTTAAATAGGTTGACTTGGGACATTGTTTTCGTGGTTTTTGTATTAGACCCGTCGTCCATTCATTTCTAAGTCAATGTTTATTTACATAAAACTATCTTGACGGACAACCATATTGTGCGCCTGGTGGTAAGTGGGTTACCTATCAGTACTCCGAAATGACATTTTCCAGAAGTAACGTTTGTTCGAATTTTCATAACCTCGAAAGTAATTATGAGAGGAAAATGTTTTTTCTTTTAAACCTAACTTAACCGAACCTAATCGTGATTTGCGATAAACATTCAACATGTCCTGAAAGAACAACGATTTCGTTATAATTCGGTTCAGTTGTTTCGGGGTGATGAAATTTAAACAAACGTTGTTTCGGAAAAAAGAAATTCGAGTTTGTGATTACGTGTAAGTGACGCGCCAACCCATAACCGTTGCAGTGCCGGAGATGTAACAACTTCAGACCGGGATCAACATGACAATAATTTCTTTTCTGATAGAAAAGTCATGTGGCCACCGGTGGTACATCACTGCCCTATAATCCAATAGTTTTGTCAGCCTGGATGCCTACTTAATTTTGATTCTTTTACTTTATTACACAATTTAAAACTCCTGAGCATTGACTTACAATTATATGGACGTCGGGTCCGGGCTAAAAAGTGTCCGAACTTATAGGGCATTAAAATCGTATACAGAGCGTCATTCACGCTTTAGTCTTCGTTTGTTCGACTGACAGCGAAGCAAACAAAATTAGACAGTACTGCGATGACAATACAATTTATATTCAACGTTTTAGTTTTTTCATATTCCTTTACATGTCACTACGTTTAAATAGGTTGACTTGGGACATTTTTTTCGTGGTTTTTGTATTAGACCCGTCGTCCGTTTATTTGTAAGTCAATGCTCCTGAGCTACATTATGACAATTGTAAATAAAAAGAAAGGAAATTGTGCTCCTTTTCTAAATTCTTGTTTCCGTTTCTAAATTTAGTAGCAGTAGATATAGTTCCTTGTGAAAGAGTTTGTCCAGGGAAGTACTGCTACCTTACCTTGCCAAGCAGTAATGGAAGCATTACAGCGTTCCGGTTTTGAAGGGTAAGGGTGCTGGTGAAATTACAGGCACATGAGACTTATCAACTTGTCTCAGATTGACGGGCACAGTGGCAATTTCTCAGATCTTTGCGATTTAAAGCTGTGAGTGACACTGCAACTGCTATGGACAGGCGTGTCGCTTAACACCAGGTGCACGACTTATTCGCCTCGTCACTTGGTAGAATAAAAATAAAAATTTGACTATTGAAGAGCTGGAAGTGAAAGCAGTTTCTCTCGATTTCGTGCGTGATCACCGGTAGGGGTGCACAATACGATTCGATGTTTATGAAGATCGATTCAAGTGTATACATAATAATAATAATATATTTATTTCAGACAACTATTTAGTCCACATTTGTTAGTAACAATTTTATTCTTAAAAATTATGTTAGTAGGCACTAAATCTAAACATTATTAAATTAAAATTAAAATAAAAACATGAACATTTGAAGCAATTAAAAATGAGGCGAAAAAGGTTGCCGCATAAAGGGAGAGTCAATTCTCCTGGCAATGGTCTTCAGTATTGGGTTGGAGCTGGCTCGCAGTCTGCAGAGCAGTGAGACCGACTTTTTGCGCATAATGGCATAAAAGTCATCAGTGCGAGCCTGTGCAAACATGCCTGACGCGCTGCAGAACCGCGGCAGCCCCAACAACATACGAAAACCATTGTTATATTGTACTCGGAGGGCGCTGATAGTTGGTCCAAAGGCTGCACGTGTAAAAAACTTGGCAGTATGATTTAAAAAGTAGAATCTTTACTTGTTCACTGCAGCTCGCAAACCTTCGCACCACCATATTACACCTGACCGCCAGCGCCCTGCGTTCCCTCTCAATATCCATGAGGTCCTTAAGGTCGTCGGAGACAAAATGGCCAAGGTACTTGTATTAATAGACCCGCTCGAGTTCTATACGATCTAGTGATTTATTGTATCGATTTATTTATATATTTATTTATTCATAGCTACCTGTACAACTCAAAACTGAAATTAATGAACACAACATAAACATAAACTAAAACAGTATAAAAATACTGTTTTATTTTAAAAATAAAATAACTCGGTGTAATAAAAAATTTAATTAAGAACACAATAAAATACTTCCTTGTGTTACGCCTAGAAAAAATAATTGACAAACTCTGGAATGTGTGACGTATTGGTGCACTGTGAATATTGTGAATCTAGAAACAGCAGATGGGATTGGTACCTACCCACATTTTTGTTTTTTATTTTTACTTTTCTTTATTGTTATTTTACTTGCAATTTAAATAGTAAGAATTTTGTTAATATTACAAATGAGTCACGTCAGCGTAATTATTAATATTATTTTTTGTTTGTATTCTTCTTTATTGTTATTGTTGTTTTTTTATTCGTTTAGTTTGTAATTTTTTTTTTATTTACCGCGATGGTAAAACCAAAAATGGTTTTTGTTACACCGTTGGCGGCCTAGATTTAAGTTCTTTTTGTATCTGTTTCTTAATATTTGAAAAAATAAAAGGTAAACCGATTCAGTCGAACAGTCTTTTTCTGTTGAATCGTAAGCGGCGAGTTACACGAGAAGAAAGTTTTCGGCGACCGCCCAATAACACTTAACGGCGAATCTGAATTCTATTTACTAGGCAAGAACATTTAAATTCCTCTGAACAATACAACCCCGCGGCCGACTGCCGCCTGCTAACTAAACGCTAGGTGACAAAATCATTTTGTGAGATATCATAAAACACCATAACCCAGTTTTAGAATATTGAAATAGTTTAATAAAAATAAGTCGAAAACGTTAACTGTTTTTAAAAGATAATTTTGTGCTGTATCTTTTGTTATTTAAAACGGATATTTGGCCATTTGTCACTAGCCGCGTGGCCGGGACGCTCACGTAAAATAAATGTGGCGAGTCCTTTACGCGGTTGTCTGCAGAAGTCTATAGTCTAAGTTATAGTACCTACTCACCGTGGCAATACATCATAACGGGCATCGTGGATTTGGCCAATTCCTCATCCATTATTCTGTTCAGTTGTTCCTTGTCGGTGTGCTCGAAATCGCCTTTTATCCTTTCGTACAATGTTTTCGGCAGTATGTGCCATATTCCTGAAACCATAAGTTCAAAGCTTGTTCGAAGTTTGCGAATGTCAAAGTGGTTTTATACATAGACTATTAATTTTAAACAATTTAAGTAAAAAAGCACATAAATACATTGTGTGAAAAAACCATTTTATAAAATTTTACCAACTTCTGCTGTCTCCATTTTTTTTCTTCCAATACAAAGAAATGATACTCGCACTAAACCGAGTTGATTACTAAGAAAAATAATCAATAATTATTAATACAAAGATTGAACACTCAAAAAAAAAAATTTCTTTGATCCGGATCTTTGTATTAATAATTATAACAAACTAGTGGAGTAATTTCACAAAAATAATTGAATATCAATTCCATAAAAATTTTGAAATACAGTGAATAGCGACGTCTCTCGCCAGGGCTGGTAGGTGTAAAGGTACTAACTGGGTGATAAATCTTTCATAGATTTCTAATAGATGGCGCTACGACTAAAAAATCGTTGAAAAACCAAATACAAAGACACGACGCAAGCACATAGAAAAATTCGTGAGGTCCGCTGGTTCGTTCCGCGGCTTAGTTGGTATAGCGTCTGGCACGGTATGCTAGAAAACGTCGGTTCGAATCTGGCCGAATCGAAGCAATTTTTTCTGAGTGTTCGATCTTTGTATTAATAATTATAATTATATACTTATTATATTACTATTGGAGTATTTTCCCAAAAAATAATTGAATATCAATTCAATAAAAAGTTTAAAATAATCTATTTTATTAATTTTTTATGGACAACACACGCTTGACCAAAAAATTTACTATGCCAAAATTGTTTTCACAAATAAGACTTAATAATATCTTACACAGTTTCCCTGTATCTCCTATGGTTTCGGATTTCCCCATACTGTCCCAGTTAGAAAAACACACTGTATATCTACTTTAGATATATATCTCGTCTATTGATATGTAACTATGTATTATTGTAGTATTAGATATAATTCCAAGGTTGACTCGTGTATGACTTCGATAACACAAATTGAAAATGATATTCCTAACCCAGTAACTGCATTTGATACAGTAAAATTATAAATTTGTTTCTTATTTTATTTATTTACTCTCAGGTTACGAAGACCCATACATAAATACATACCCTATAGATTAAAATACATAATAAAGTAATAAAACACTATTTATTAACACGTATGGACTGCGACGTGTAACGCAACGTGGGTGTCCGGTAACAGGCCTCCCGTCGGCCAAAACTCCTCCTTCATGAAGGTCGACAGATATTGAGTTGGTACTCTCACCACAAATTCATATTTTGGTGGGACTCCAAACGCTCGGCTCTCAGGATACCATTAACTTTCGCGAGCATGTACTCCACTAAGCGTGGTGCCACTGAGGCTACATTCATGTGTACAAAAAAGTATGCTCTTACCTATCTTGACAGGGCAGTGGTCTACTTCGGAATGGTACTCGATGTTGAAATTGCGTCCGCCTTCAATGCCTCGCGACGATGGGTCATCGTAGTCCACGTTCGGTGGCCACTGCACTAAAACCAACATATTATACGGGCATTTATTAATCAAGATTGCTTTGATTGGTGTTATGTGTACTGTTTAGGTTCTTGGATTTCGTGCAGAGGAAATTTTAAGGATCATGACTGTGGCATGACATCATCCAAACTCATTGTACCACGATTTCGTTATACAAGGTAAACGATTTTTATGGGGAACTGTAAACGTTTTTACAATAAAATTCCGGAGCATATATCAATTCCTAAGTTTAAAAACTACAATAAAAATATTTCCATTGAAAAGTCATATTACAAAATTGAAGATTACGTGTTAGATAAAGATGTATGGACAGACGACACGGCTCTAGATTCCAAACAAATTTGATTCAAAGTGTATTCCATAGCATTTAAGTTTATTTGAAAAGAGCAATCACAAGTTTCTTGCCCGTTCTTCTCTGGGAGGTCAGCATAGTGAATGAGCAGTGACAGGTGACGTTTTCAAATGTAAATTTATTTTACCTATGGATTGTTTTTTATTCACACAAACGATATTTTGGAGAAGGGGCGGGGCGTAAAAGCCAAACTAATAATAAATATATATAAATATTAGACAACATCGCATACGTTGCTCTGATCCCAAAGTAACTAAAGCACTTGTGTTATGGAAATCGGAAACAACGACGGTACCACAAACACCCAGACCCGACACATTATAGTAAAAGTTTTCTCCACTGACCCGGCCGGAATCGAACCCGGGACCACAGAGATAGCAACACCATGAAAACCGGTGTACAAGCCACCACAGAGGCCGTAGATATGATTCTTTGACTATAAATGAATGATTGTTTGACTTTGATGTTAATTACAAAAATTTGATTTTTTTATTACATCTCTATTTTACAGTGGGCATAAAACATTTTCCTATCGCGTAGTGTCTGCAAGTGAGCGAGCTTTAGACAAGACTTCTACTAAAAGCATAGTAGAATGAAAGAACAAGTATGGTAACTCCATGCAACATCGCAGAACGGCTTTTACGTGTGTGCGCCCGCCGCGCGCCGTGTACGAGTGCATATATTTGCAAAATCTGTCAAATCTGGGTGTTACCACACCAATCGATCGATGGTCAATCGACAATATCGGTTGGTGTGGTAACAACTGTCGATCGACGAGCACCGATCGATGAATCACCACGCGATAGTCATTCTGTCATCGATTGATTGTTCCATCATTCGATGACAAATTGAGCCAGATCTCATTCAACCATCAATCGATCGACTATAGATCGATTGGTGTGGTAATACCCTAACACTGGTCGTCTCAAAGTACCTTTCATTGTGTGAATGTGTGCGTCCGAACACAGCGCGAGACGGACACATTCAAGTCGCGCTGTGATTTGGTACGGAGTTATCCTACTAGTTTTATTTTACCATGCTAAAAGAGCTTGGCGCAAGTGTGGCTGCAAGATCAAATTTGAACCTAAATGGACCTTTTGATATCGCAGAATTTAGAAGCAGTGGAGCTTATTGTGAAAAGTTCGTCCAGCACCATAGCTATTTGTGCCGCCAAGTAGTAATGTAAATTCCTGTTTAACCTTCAGGTAAAGGAGCTAAGATGCACACAGAACTAGTCAACCTATGTCTTAGAGTGACGGACGCAGCGGAAGTGCCCATAAGATCTCTGCGATTTAAAGCTCTGAATGGTACGGCAACGTTATAGGCTATTAGCTGTTGCTGTATTATCGTTTACAATAAAGAGAATATCAATTTCATCTCTTTCACAATTTGGTTTTACCGGAAATCGAACCCGTGACGTGATCTAGTATCCTGAGTGCTGACAATTTAGCCACCAGGTTATCAAAGAAGTGGCTCTATCAAAACTATAAAGCATATTCAGTTTGGTTTAACCAAATCCAGCTATATAAAATTGTTACTATCTTAAATACCATCTAAGTAAATTGAAGGTGACTAATTAATAATAAAACAATAAGCCCTTTGATAATTTTGCTTTTGTTGAACAATAAAGGTTTAAAGTCCATGGATTAAAAGATATAGATTATAATTTGATGTAAATAATGACACTGAACTCAGACAAGACTGATTACATGTTAGGTTAGGTTTTATTGTTGTCTTACTTCAAATGTCTTCAAGTCTGACAATGAGTGTTGCCCCTTAATAAGCGTCCGATACTCACACCTGGGACCCTACTCTAGAAGCAATAAATTCGTAGTTACGGCCGTTTTCCCGCTATGGATGACCTACGGTGTCTCTACGATGAGATTGCAATGACAGTTATCCCTAGCGACCTCGTAAAATGTTTGTACAAAATGTTGTTTCTTCTTGTGACCGCTAATGTATAATTTGTCATACAGTCACTAGCGACTGCGATGCTAGCCCGCCTGATGGGAAGCGGTCACCGTAGTGTAGTCTAGGCTCTACTCTACTATGAGTAGAATTACTGGTCGAATGAATATAGGTTTGTGTTTCGAATGATGTTTAAAAAAATTAAATGTAAAAAAAAGAACATCTCGGTTTTTCTAGACGAGGCTTCGATAAGTAAAGATGAAATAAATATTTAATCATGGAAATATCCCAGTTTTATGTTTAAAAGTACCTCTACGCAAGCCCAAGTTACGTTCCCCGTTATAGTAGCCTATGAATGCAACACCAGGGGCGTCACGAGAGTCTTTAGGACCCTTCTCAAACCCCTTTTGTAGGACTCCATGCTGTAAACCTCCTCCATGCTGTCCAAGCTGTCCTGCAAACCCCGACAGGAAGTTCATTTCACGGCCTAATTGTACGTGAGAGGAAGCTTCTCTGAAACCTTACAGTATGAGGTCGACTCGGTTCCAGAATGTGAGGATGGACTCCCTGCCGGTGGCGAGCAGTGCGATGATAAAATGTTGCTGTTCAAACAGTTCTTCAGAACATTGACCATTGTACAAGCGATAGAACAGACATAGTCACAGTAAACTTGTGGTAGAGTCACTGGATTACTTTCGAAGTCCGTCAACGAAAAAATGGGTCCTTTCGAAATTGCCAAAAGGGCAAGTTCGAATCTCTCGAATCGCGCGCTCATACGTTGTTAGTTCTAGCCCCGATCGAAACTCAAGTCAACCACAGTGGAAAAACGACCGTAACTACAGATTTCGTTATACAAGAGAAGGGACCTTGGACAAGCTATGACTTCACTAGAAGAGATGAAAACAACGAAGCTAATAAAATCCTACGTGTTACTTTTTTGTTGGCTGCGAGTTGTAAATAGTGGTGATCACAAGGAGCTCAAGTGCCGGCGTGAAACGCTGCAAAGGCAGGCCCTGAATAAATCACCTTGTGCTGAGGGGCGCGCTGCTCCCGCGGACGGCGGTCATCGCGTACGCCGATGACACGCTGGTGGCCGTCCGGGGGACCACCTTCCAGGAGGCGGCCCGAAGAGCCTCAGTAGCGGCGGACATGGTGGTCCGCCGAATACAACTGCTGGGGCTCGAGGTCGCCGTGCCGAAGACGGATGTGGCCGTCTTCGGCGGGAGGGGTAGAGGTTGGGCGGTGCCGGCAGGCGCCCACATCTCCATCGCGGGAGTATCGGTCCCGGTCAAGTCCCAGATGAAATATCTGGGACTTGTCCTAGACCGGCGATGGAACTTCGGGGAGCATTTTCGGCAACTTGCTCCCCGAATAGTGGGCGCCGCATCGGCGTTGGGCAGGCTCCTGCCCAACCTCGGGAGGCCGGGAGCCCCATGCAGAAGGCTATACGCCGGGGTGACCCGGAGTATGGCCTTATACGGGGCTCCCATTTGGAGTGGGGCCTTATCAGCGGCGACGAAGTCGCTGCTGAGGAGGCCCCAGAGGGTGGTCGCCCTGCGAATGTGCAGGGCGTACATGATGGTGGCCTGCGCTGCCGCATGCGTCCTCGCCGGTACTCCGCCGTGGGACCTCGAAGCCGAGGTCCTGGCGGAGGTCCGCACCTACCGGCGGGGAATGAGGGACCGAGGCGAGCGACCCGCTCCCCAAGAGGTGGAGCGGGAGCGCCGCCTCGCGGCGCAGCGCATGCGGGACCGGTGGAAAGAGGGCTTAGTGCAACTACAGTCCTATTTTTTCACTATAGTTACAATAGTTATTAATTAAATACCTTATTTTTAATTTTACAAAGAAAACATTCCAATTTACGCTATATTAAGTTTTATACGCTAATTAATTAATTATTACGCTATAGCTAATTAATTATTACGCTATATTAAATTATTTTATTGAATGAATTTTTATTAAGTTCAATTTATTATTAATTATTAATAGAAATTAGAATAAACTAAAACATATTAATTAGTACTGCAGTCTTATGTCTTTTTGGGATTTTTCATTAGAGGAAATACTGGATCCCAAACTGGTATAATATAGTTTTAAAAATAGTTTCATTTCCTATGTGTAACAATCACGAAAACCTAAGAACTTGAGTGAAACAAACAAAAATCCGTGGCAATGATCCGTATAGCTCATGCAGGTACTCTCGATCTATGATGTTTAAAATAATTGTTGTGAATGATTAATGTGTACAAAATGTTTATTTACTAAGAGCAACTTCTTGCTCATTTTTCTCAAGGGAATCTGCATTACGAATGAGCAGTAGAGTTTAATTAATATGGCGATTTCATGTGTAATTACTGCGGAGCTGAAAGAAATTTGTCAGCACTGTAGCTTGTGGAGGTTCTAGTGAGAGACAGGGTGAAGATATATATGTAAATTCCTTGATATTAACATACCAAAATTCGCAAAGACGAGACTCCTCCGGAAGGTCTTCGAGTATTTAAATATGAGAGGCACCACGGCTACATGGAACACAAAGAGTCCCGCAGTTACGCCTACACCCAATAAGAGTGCCCTGTGAAATAAATTTGTTAAGCTAGGTGAACACTGCATTTATAGCATTGTTGACTCTAATTACACTAATTTAAATAAATATGTAGTCTACCAATCAGTAATACAATTTTAGACTGGAACAAAATCAAAATGTTTACTACCACTTCCCACAAAACTAACATGTACATATGTATATCATACATTAAATCTTACTCTTGGTATAATAAAGTCGATTATCCATCAAAAGTGATTTGATCACATTTAAATTATAAAAATAATACAAACATTTTAAATTATTATTGAATTAATATTCAATTTTTTTGTGTGAAATGATTCCACTCGTTTGTTATAATTATTAATACAAAGATCGAACACTCAGAAAAAATTCCTTCGATCCGGCCGCATTTGAACCAACGTCTTCTACCGTGCCAGATGCTATACCAACTAAGCCATGGAACAAACCGAAAAACGAAAAATTTAAAATACAGTGAATAGCGACATCTCTCGCCAGGGCTGGTAGCTGTAAAGATGTCAGATCAACCATTGTTCGATTATATATACCGAAACGAATTTAGATATATAAATTCTCAAAACACCTTTATATGTAAACGCCTTAGTTTGAATAACGAAATGATGTATTTATTCTCTTTCTTCTTTATCACATCGGACTGTGTTCTTCAGATGAGTTGAACTGTTTGTGTTGTCGAAGCAGTGATCTGACGGACTAGTGACCTATCTAACATGTGTTTTGTCGAAGTACTGTCGGATCGAAACAGTGTTTCTCGAAATTAAGTATGACTCCTCTCCATGTAGTGCCCAAATTGTATTTTGGGCACTAAGAAAACAAGACTAAAAAGTATTGAATTTATCCAATTCCTGGACTCCTTGTAAATGAAAAAAATCTAAAATCTTTGTTGAATTTTCTCAGAAAGTACATGACACAGAGAAAAATATTATAATAAAAGGTGTTCATTTAGGTCTTTTTTTTTTTTTTCAAACATTAAACAATTTATAAAGATTTTTTTTTATTTGCAATTTTCTACGTTCTGTTTCCAGAGAGCCCCCTGTCATATTCGAAAAAGAAATAGCGTTATGGTAATTTAATACCACATGTTTACTAACATTATAGTTCTCTGACGTTATTTTGTTAACAAAATCAGAAATATTACCTTAATAAAATGCTTAGTCATTACAATGACAAATTATGTTTTCTAACAAACAAATATAAAATAACGGGAAATATATACTTAAGTTTGTTACAGAAATTAAAATAAATACTTACGCAACCGTATATAAAGGCACACAAATCAGAATTCCAACAAATTCTACCATATTTTTCTTTTCTATTTTCGGCTATTTAAAAAATGAGATCGTGCTATTTTACTATTACAATACTAGAAACAATGACATATTATTCAAATTAGATGATAATACAACTATGTTAATACGTAAAACACTCAGGATTTTAAGGAACATGTGAGATTAATAAAAATGAAAGTAAAAATTATTACGAGTCGACAAAGAACAGGGTGTAAGGCAAATCTCTTGAACCAAACTAAACTAACATTTTTCATGAACGTTAATGTAGCAAATCATTAACACTGCCACAATAAGGAAATAATTAAAAACACAAAACATAAATGGAGAGACACAAATGAAATTGAAATTAATCGAACTGTTATCGTAATTTGAAGTTTCGTTTCATTTGACAGAATTGATCTTAAGCTGCCCATTCACTACCTGCATGGCAGTCCGCCGCGCAGACATGAGACTGCTCACACACTATCCTGCAATCTGCATATGGCCCATGTATGGAGTCTCGCAGGACGCATTACAGGATGGCAGGCACGCTACGACTACATTCATAATCCAGCATTACGCGGCGGACGGCAAGACGGACTGCAATGCAGGATAATGAATGCCCGATTTAGCAATGGGCGAGTCGAGTTATCTAAAACGGCCCATTCACAACCTGCTTGGCGTCCGCCGTGCAGGCAGGAGACTGCTCACACACTATCCTGCGTATGGCTAACCCACGTAAGGAGTCTTGCAGGACGCATTGCAGGGTGGTTTGCACGCTGCGACTTCAATTATAATCCTGATTCTCTTTGTGAGTAATGCTCTGTGCCTGCATTACGCGGCGGACGGCAAGGCGGATTGAAATGCAGGATAATGAATACCCCCTTTTACTCGATTAACTCGAGTTACTCTCACGAGTCAACTCGAGCTAATTTCTTATGAACTCAAGCTAGCTCGGTTCCGTCGGTACCCGCCCCGGCAAGCCGACTCGGCTAGAATCTTAGGAGCACGCTCGAGCCGCGGTCGTTTGAACGATCGTGCTCAACTCGGTGAATCGTCGGTTCGAGTTCATATGAATACGCCGCATCGCTCTCGTTACTCGCGACTCGCGATTGCTCTATCAGACACCGAGTCGAGTCAACTCGAGTTAAACAAAATACGACTCGTTGCATCACTAAATTTGACCAATATGACCAGTGTTGCCCACAGTACGACTCAAATCCCCAAACGAGTTGTTTGAAATAAATTGTTCCTATTCCTCATGTATACTCTCCTTTCGCCAAAAATCCTCAATCAAGATTGTAATTTCATTCAAGCAATTGCAAATTGCAAAACAATTCAAGCACACATTTTATTAATAAGTAGCCTAAAATTGCCTTTTTCTATAGTTTAAAACATAGCCTAAATATCGTCGAGTCGGCGATCACTTTTTTTGTCGCAGGGGAAGCCTAAATTAGGGATGCAGATTACGATTTGGTTTTTATGAGGATCGATTCAATTGAATACGATCTAGCGATTTTTTGATTCGATTCATTTCAATGCGATTTTCGAGCGAATCGATTCAAAATGAAGGCGAATCGAATCGTCTAGATCGTTTTTATAATTTAAACAAAACTCGTCTTATTAATGACTTCTTAGACAGAACGAAAAGAAAGACCAATGAGGAGGTGATAAGAATAGTGAATGAAAAAAAAAACCTTATTAAAGACAATAGAGAACCGAAGGGGGAAAATATTTGGTCATCTGATGCGTCACGACAGTTTTCTTAGAAACATAATAGAAGGGTAGATCGAAGGAAAGAGAGGCAGAGGAAGATCGAGACGAAGTTTTTTAGATCAGATAAAGGAAATCTTAATGTCGTGTCGTATCAAGAAATCAAGGCGCTAAACAGAGATGATTGGAGATTACTCTACCGACAAGAGCCTAGCTCTTAAATGAGAAGAAGACAGAAACGGAAAACAAAGAGAATGTCATGTTTTCGACATTAAACTTTTCAATAATATATATAAATATATTATTGAAAAGTTTAGTTAGATGTAAAATATTGGCATCAGCAGAAAAAAAATATTTTGATTATGCATTTATTTTAGTTTATTATTAGGGTGTGAATTAGTAAATGGAAAGATATAAGAAAGAATAAGTAAAAGAATATGGAAGAAATCTAAGTGACGTAAAAGTGGCACATTTAGGTAGGGACGCGAAACTTGCGGGAGACGCTGCATTAAATATTTTGAAGTAAGCACAGACCAATTAAGACAACATTTGAGTCGTTATGTTGGAGGAGCACCAACAAACATTTTCTTTAAAAACCAAGTGCCATTCTGTGACTCGTTGTGAACCGATTAAACACAATAACTTATTTGCGTGGATTTATTTGTAAAGTACTTGTTATTTATCATGTTTCATGTCAAAGGTCAAAATATTAAATTGTTCTTTATCAATACATTGTGTTGAAAGATTCAAAACAAGGGTCTCAACAAACACGTAGGTATAATTTTAGTTCATATTGGCATTTCAAATGGCTTCCTCTAAGAAAAGCATTTATTTTAGTTTATTAATAGTGTTTGAATTAGTAAGTGCAAAGATAAATGTAAATGTTGAATGTGGAAGAAATATAAGTTATATAAAAGTGACACATTCAGGTAGGGACGCGAAACTTGTGAACGCTGAATTTAGTATTTTTGGAGTAAGCAAAGACCAATTAAGATCCTCACTATGGAAAAGCACCAACAATAATTTTCTTTAACAACCAGCCATTCTGTGACTGGTTGTTAGCACAGAATAATTTGTCTTGATGGATGTGCCGAGTGGATACGATTTTAGAAGTAAAATCTGCAGAAGTCATGGAAATCACTTCTGAACCTTCTATAGTACATACTCAAGACTTCGACAATAAATCAGTAATAAAATTAAGGTAAACACTGGAATTAATCAATCTGTACAAACATTTATTACAACATCATGGATTAATAGCACAGACACTGAAAATTCTCTAGACGTAAAATGCGGATTAGGCATAAAATTTTTTTCAATATCCGGCGGTAAGACATATTCGTACAGCTCTAGCTTTGGCTAGAGCTTAGAGAAAACAGAGATGGTAAAAGTCAAAAAGCCAGTAGTACGCTCGGTTTTACTTTCGTGCCTTTGCCGCTTAGACAGTGGCGCTATATTATTTTCCCGCGTAAGTGCGTTGTTCCTGTGTCTGGTTGGAAAAAAAATACCGCGAATACTTTTGAATTTTGGTTTGTAATTTTATTGTAGAGCGAACACGATTGCTTTTTTTTTCTCGTAATCGAAGTGAAAAGTAAACTTTTCACCTCAAGACTAAGGGTCGTATTCTAGAACTCTATTCAATGCTCAACTCAGGATTGCATTGGCAACACAAGCACTGGAAATACGACCCTAATGGCAGGGACTTGAGTATGATTTCGAGTGCTTTAAACCATACTCAAGTCCTGACTTGAGCATTGAATAGAGTTCTAGAATACGACCCTAAAAGCCAATATATACCCTCGGAGTAATAGACAATCTCGCTAAAGGTGTGGGGAAGCGGGGCAGATTCGTACACTGTTTTCAACTTCAATTTTGGGCTACTAAATGAAATTATAATGAATACTTTTTCTATCAAATTGATGATATATCTAATAAACATTACTAATTTAATCTTTTCTTTGAAAAATTTGATTTTAACAAAAAATGGTAATTGCCCCACCTGTGGGGTACTTTGATACATCGCTTGGGGCACTTTTGATGAGTGAATCAAAGTAGTGTGCCATTCCTGGTTGCCACGTATTATCAGCACTAGGTAATCAACTGTTAATAAAGTATGACGCTATTTGTGCTTCAGCACTTGCTAGATCAAGACTGCTTTCTAGGGCACCATTTGAACTGTTCTTTGTAATGTAGTCTTGGATGTTGAAATATAGGAGGAATAACTGACTACACCGTAAAATGTCACTAGTTCACCTCTACAATAACTTTTTAAAATAGTTTTACATTTTTGTACAAAATAAGTAATAGGAGTACTTTAATACGTACCAAATTGTCCCACTCACTAGTGTATAAAAGTACCCCACCGGCCAGTTTAGAAAAAATATTTATTTAACAAAAAATCTTTATATATTCCCTCAAAGTCACATGCAATTCTAGTTACTGAAAACGAACACACTACTTTACCCTGTATTAAGACATCAGATCCTGTAGAGTGAACAAAACAGCAGTGGCACTCGTAGTTATGTCGCTTATTTTTTTAGTCTTTGTGAAAACACTTTATGACCTGTCGGATGACAAAGGTTAACTCTACTGGAACAAAGGGAGCTCTACTGCTGCTAAAAATATTGATCGTACCGGGAATTAGAACCAGGGATTTCCACATCACCGGCTCATGGTGCTCACCGCGATGTCACTCGGATTCAATATTCAATGACGTAGATATGTACTGCAGCAATTGCGAATGTTTTCAATATTCGACTCGTTAGTAATTATCATCGAGTATATAACCAGAAATAGAGACGAAATAAGGGCCATCCATCCCTGGCAACTCATCAGGCAAATAGGCCTTATATCACTTTTAAATATCAACTCTCATTTGTGCTGAAATCACAAATTAGAAAACTGATATAATACAGCGCCAACAACATAAGTAAGATAATATCTCTAACTATGGGGGGCTGTTCCATTCGGTGGTGTGGGAAAAACAGCAAAACATCTAATTACAAAACAAACGGAATCACATTTCATCGGTAATTAAATATGTAATTTTTCCATTTTCGTTCATTGTAGCAAAGCTCGAGTTAAACTGGTCGATCTGAAGTGAAACAATTGACGACACCCGTGCATTGTTTCGAATTCGGGCTGGCCGATCGGAGCGCAGTTGTCACCGATGTAATGATATAGCAGAATAGTTTTGAAACAAATTAAATGACATTTCGTCTCTATTTCTGGTTATACAATATAATCGATGGTAATTACTAATCCTGTCGTTCGAATGACAAATTAATAACCACAGGCATATATCTAGATACACGTCGCAAGTACAGCAATTTGTATGAAAACCAAGCGTGGCACATTTTTTGTACCCACTATGACGTCACAAGAACTATTTAGTGATGAAAACCTCCTTCCGCTCGCTCTAAATCGATTGATTGAATGGAATACGCGAAAACACGCGTATTCCATTCAATTAATCGATTCTAAATAGACTAATTTTTGTTCAAATATTTGTTGATTACAAGTAGTCGTAATATTAATATAGTAGAAAAATACTACAGTAAGATAGTAAGGTCCTTTATTTTACTTGTTTTTAAAAAATGTTGATTACTTAAAAAA